ACTTATCTNTCTCTCTCTCTCTCTCTCTCTCTTTCTCTCTCTCTCTCTCCCCCCGCTCCCCCTCCCCCCTATTTTCCAAGTATTTTTAGTTGCCCAACTGAGCACCCTTAAGTAGTGCCAAACAGTCGGTAGTTCCTCGTTTGGAGTGCCTACTGCACTCTTAGGGGGGCTGCTCAGTTCAGGATGTCTGTGTTGCCTGTTGATGATGACGGATGCTCGTCAGAGTGATTCCCTGGCTCAATGGGTGGTGGGAACCAACAGTCTGCAGTGTTCAATTGTGATGTGAGTAGGTGATGTGCCGCTTTGCTCCGTGTTGGATGTGTGGACTGCCTTGTCTGCGCTCTGCCGCTGCCTTGCTGCCTCTCCCGTTTGCTTCGCGTGTGGTTCTCTGCACATTGCTGTGTTCGCTGTGTGGTGTGGCCGTGTTGCTGGTGTTGCCTTGCTGCTCATCCGCTGGTCGTGCCTTTCAGGTTTTTTGCTTGCGTGCCTTGTAGTTTGATTGCCTTGTAGGTGTTGCCTTGTGCTCCACTGCATGGTTGCCATGCTGCTCGACCGCTAGCCTTGTTGTTCCCTGCTGTGTGGTTGCCCTGTTGGTGTTGCCTTGTGGATCACTGCATGGTTGCGGCACTGCTTGTCCTGAGTGCCGTGTCGTTCCTTGCAGTCGTTTTTGGCGTTGTGCAGCCGTGTTGCCTGTACTGCGTTGCCTGGTGCTCCGCAGGGTTGTTGCCCGCTGCTGTGTTCCATTTGGGGAACAGTCTGCCTTCAACATGGGTCAAAAGGTTCATGACCCAAACCGTCCAACACGAAGACTCTGCAGATTGTCAAGGGTTCAGCCTCCTGGTGAGTCGGTGCAACTCCGACGAAACAGTCTGTCATCATCAGTTTCTATTTATTTATTTTTTCACTCTCTGCTTTTTCAACTTGGCACTCTATGCCTCTTCCCTTGTTGCCTTGTGCTGCTTTGCCCACCCGCCTCCCCCATGTCATCCACCCTATGTCTCATGCAACCGCTCGTTGTCTAATGTCTCGTTGCTTGTTGTCATTCGCTTCACCGTGTCTTGCCTTTGTGGCCTTCGCATGACATTCCATGGGTATCTGTGACGGACTCAGGAGAACACCTCGTGCTGGTAATGCTAACCCTTCTGCCCCCCTCTCTTCCCTTCTTCGCTATCCATCTCGTGTGTTCTTTCTTCGAGGGACCCGCTATTTTCCTGTGGTCTTGTCTGCAGGGATTGCTGGTTTGTGGCATTAGTCAATCCTACGGATGGGTAGTGCAGTGCAGGCAGCATGTGATAAACCTATGTGGAGGTTCCCGTGTTTTCTTGTTGCTATGGTTGCTGATGCATTTCTTACACACACACACACACACACACACACACACACACACACACACACACACACACACACACACACACACACAGATTTGACCTTGTCTGACCATGGACTCGACGTACTCTCTGTGGGGAGGAAGGTGGTGCTGGTGTAACTTGATCAGCTACATCAAGTATTGAGTTGTATGGAAGTATCTGGTCCTTCTATGATGTGTGGTGTGCTCACTGTTTTCATTTTGTGTATGGATCATGATAATGCTATATACGACATATTTAACTCCGAAAGCGGTGGACGTGGATGCTACCTCTGGTTTCATAGAAGGGGCACACATCACACACAGATTTGACCTTGTCTGACCATGGACTGGATGTACTCTCTGTGGGGAGGAAGGTGGTGCTGGTCTAACTGGATCAGCTACATCGAGTATTGAGTTGTATCGAAGTATCTGGTCCTTCTATGATGTGTAGTGTGCTCACTCTTTTCATTTTATGTATGGATCGTGATAATGCTATATACGACATATTTAACTCTGAAAGCGATGGACGTGGATGCTACCTCTGGTTTCATAGAAGGGGCTGTCTGATGAATTCTTTGAGATCCGCATGCTCACGATCACAGGAAAGGAAATCAATGTCAGCTCAGGTGTGTGGGAAATGTTCTTAAGCGATTGTGATGTGAGATAATTCCTTGAAGGCTTGTGNCACAGGAAAGGAAATCAATGTCAGCTCAGGTGTGTGGGAAATGTTCTTAAGCGATTGTGATGTGAGATAATTCCTTGAAGGCTTGTGAGCCGGAGTACAGCTGTTCCACTGAGGAGTGTAGTGTGACACCGTACGTACACACACACACACACACACACACACACACACACACACACACACGCATACAGATGATAAGAGAAGGAGCGACGGGGAGCAGCCGGGATGACTCTCGAAGCCCTGCTTGCCCACAAGCGGACCTCTTTTCCGGTTCCTTAATTTTTTTCTTCCTCTAACCCCTTTTTTCCCCCCCCGTCCCCCCTCTTTTTTTGGCCTTTATTTCTTTCGGTTTCTTCCTTTGTCCTTGTCCCCCATTTCCTGACCAGATTCCTTGAGAAAGGAAGAACCCCCGGCCAACTCAGATACCAGCCGGATGATGAGCCACGAGAACAGCCCGCTCTCGGAACATATCGAGTAAATCACCTGGTAGGGATAGTCAGCAGGCACAGAATACGAGTTGATTGAATTTTTTTCTTTCTTTTTTCCTCCTTTTTCCTTTTTTCCTTTCCCTTTTTTTTCTCGTTCTTTTTTTCTTTTTTCTTTTTTTCTTTTCTTTTTTTCTCGCTTTCTTTTTTTCTTTTGTCAAGGTCCGCCTGTTTACCGAAGGATCGGCGTAGATGAATGGATGGATAGGGACACTGGCTTGTTTTGCAAGGAAACGGCTCTCAGGTGGGACCCGCGACTATATTAGAATAAAACCCATGGGCACTATTCATCGAGGCAACGAACGGTTAATGATTCTGACGACGGAGCGGGACGCCCGGTTTTTGCATTTGCAAGGGAAGTTGGGCAAGGTGGCGGGCGGCATGGACTTTTTTGCCGATTGGGACCTGGAGGAGGAGCAACCAGAAGTGGAGGAAGGGGTAACTTTCTAGCGGTCGGCACCTTCCCGGTCTTTTCCCCGGAACCCGACGCCTGAGTACTCCGCGACCAAGCAATATGCATGCCGACGCTACCTGCCCAGCTGAGCGTATCTTGCCCTGCTTATCCC